TTCGAGTTTTTGACACAGCAGGACTCGAACCCGCGACCTCTACCTCCCACCAGGGCCATGAGGGTAGTGGGGCGGGAGGGAGTGGTGGTGGGGGAAGGATTGTGGGATTTACTCCGAGCCTTCTGGGGAATTTACCAGAGGCGGATCGTGCGGCTATGGAGGCGTCGATTCTGCAACGAACGGCTGAAATCACGTCGTACTTGCTGGGGCAGGCAGCGGCTGTGCTGTTTCTCGTGGATGCCAGGTGGGTGTGCTGTGCAGTGTACTGTGCCGTGCTCTGATACCATGCAGCAAGATCCTTCAATCGTCTGCTTTCTTAATCTCCGTCCAGGTTTCCTTCTCTCCCCCTTTTTTCAGTGTACCCACACACTTCCCCCTCCCCTCCACCCCCAACCCGCCCTCCCCTTCACCACCCCCATCCCCCTCCACTACCTTCTCCCCCCCCTTCCCCTCTTTGTTCTATATCGTCATTCATTCGCTCTCTTTCCTCTTCCCCAAGCTCGCCTTCTCCAGCGCTCAAACATCTTGCTCTTTCTCTTTCACTCACACGCTTCTCCGCCCTTCCTCCCTCCCTCCCTCCCACCCGCCATCATTCATTGGAACCCCTTTCCTTAGAGCTGGCATTCAACCTGCTGACGTGGAGGTTGCTGATTGGCTGCGTCGCTCTGTGCCAAAGCACCGGGTGGTGCTGCTGGCGAATAAATGCGAGGGGCTGGGCGGCGACAGCACAGGCCTGCTGGCGTGCCACGTGGCAGAAGCCTATTCGCTGGGGTTCGGCGACCCGATCCCGATATCGGCCGAGTCTGGGGAGGGACTGGAGGACCTTTATGCTGCTGTGAAGGGACCGGTGGAGGAGAAAGAGAGGGAGGGGAGAGAGGAGAGGGAGGAAAGGCAGAGGGATTTGAGAGAGCGGAGAGAGGATATGGAAGGAAGAAAGATGGCCATTTCAGGTGAGCACATGCGGCTGTTTTAGGTGGAGGAAAATGTCTTTTTTTTTTCCATGTTTTCTGCTATGGATGCTCCACTGAGCAAGAGTGTGAGAGCTTCAAATCTGTATTCTCACGCAATCAATCGGATCAGAGGCTATTGTAGTACCAGAAGCCCTCTCTCAAGGCTTGTTTTTTGAGCCTTCTCAAAGATGAGAGGCTGTTGTAGGACTAGAAGCTCTCTTTCAAGGCTTGAGGCTTGAGGTGTGCGGATCATTGGACTGGCCCTGCCTGCTGCTTTTGAAGTGGGTGAGCTTCAGAAGAGATTCAAGCAACCTCGTGTGATGCGATGCTTGACTTTTGAGTCGACTCAAAAGTCAGCTTCAGAAGAGAATCAGGCAACCCCGTGTGATGCGATGCTTTCCCTCCTTCCGACGGCTCCCGTGGGGCAACACGGTGTTCTGTGCAGCACAGGGATGAGTCAGCGTACAGAGGAGGCCGGCGATTTTGCGGCGTTGCCTGACAGCAGTGAGTGTTCTGATGCAGCGCTAAATGGTGATGCTGCTTATGCCGCTGTGGCTCTAGATATAACCACCTTACCTGCAGCAGAGGAGGAGGTGGTGGAGGAGGAGGACGACGACGACGAAGCAGCAGCACAAGCGTTGTTATCATCCTCAGCAGCAGAAGCAGCAGCAGCAGCAGAGGCGGCAGAAACCTCAGAGATTCCGCTACAGCTGGCGATAGCAGGGCTGCCGAACGTGGGCAAGTCAACGCTGGTCAACTCGCTGCTGGGGGCTCAGCGCGTTCTGACGGGGCCGGAGCCAGGGCTCACTAGGGACGCTGTGCGCATTGGCATCACGTACCAGGGCAAGCCCATGTGGCTGGTGAGAGTGGGTTGGGGGAGGGGCGGGGAAAGGGAAGGGTGAGGAGGAGGGCACAAGTGGTGCTCACAGGGCCGGAGCAGGGCTGACCAGAGATGCTGTGCGCATTGGCATCACGTACCAGGGCAAGCCCATGTGGCTGGTGAGAGTCGGTTGGGGGAGAGGGGAGAGGGATGACAAGGGGGGGTGGGGGTGCTGGGCGCTCAGCGCGTGTTGATGGGGTTGGAATCGGGGCTCACGAGGGATGCTGTGGGGTGTGTTTTTGAGAATCCTTATCCAGAATCGGGGCTCACTAGGGACGCTGTGCGCATTGGCATCACGTACCAGGGCAAGCCCATGTGGCTGGTGAGAGAAGGAAGGGGAGGGGGAGGGGGGGGGGGGGGGGGGGGGAGGGCGTGGTGCTGGGGGGTGAGGGGAGGGCACAGCGTGTGCACACGGGAACTGGGACAGAGATGCCGTGCTGATTGGCATCACGTACCAGGGCAAGCCCTTGTGGCTGGTGAGATTGGAGGGTGGTGGGGTGGGGGGCATGACAAGGGTGGATGTTGCCAGGGAATGGAGCTGGGACTCACTACAAGGGCCCGTGTCACGACTTCTTTCTGAACTCCTCTGAACCGCTCTGAACCCCACGGCAGGTGGACACGGCGGGGTGGGTGAAGGCAGCGCAGGCGAGGCAGAGGGGGCCGGTGTCACTGGCGCGCATGGACATGGCGAGGAGCATTGGGCGTGCGCACGTGGTGGTGCTGGTGCTGGATGCTGCTGTGGTGAGTTGAGTTGATGTTCATGTTTAAGGTGCCTTAGAATGTGCCAGTGGTGCTGTGGTGTCACTGGCGCGCATGGAGATGGAGAGGAGCATTGGACGCGCGCACATGGTGGTGCTGGTGCTGGATGCCGGTGTGGTGAGTTGAGTTGATGTTTACGTTGATTTTTGAGGCGCCGTACAAGGGCTGGTGGTGCTGTGGTGCCGCTGGCTCGCATGGACATGGAGAGAAGCATTGCGCGTGCGCATGTGGTGGTGCTGGTGGTGGGCCAGGTGCATGAATTCTCGTACGAGGGCGGTGTTCCCTCCCCCTCCTCCAACTCCACTCCGGCCACCAGTTTCCGCCCAAGTTCACTAAAAACAACAGCCTCTCGTTTTGTGAAACCGCTCGGTCTCTTTACGTATGTGCATGTATTTCCGCCCAATCATGTGTTGCCAGGTGGCAGAGGAGGAAAAGTCTCTCAAGACAGCAGAGAGGGCGCTGGCGCGGTGGGTGTGGGAGGAGGGGCGCGCACTGGTGGTGGCGGCCAATAAGATGGACGCGGTGGGGGGGGACAGGGACAAGCGGTGGGTGCGCAAGAAGGTCAGGCGGGCCGTGCCTTTGGAGATCGCTGCCCTGCTGCCGCAGGTGGGTGGTGAGGGTTGTTGTTGAATTGCTGCGAGGGCACCTCAGTTGACGTATTGCTGCTGCATTTTTTCCGTTTCAGACTGTGTCAAATTGTGTCAGACCGTGTCAAATTGTTTTAGACCGTGTCAAATCGTGTCAGACCGTGTCAGACGTGACAACCCGTGTTAGACTGACTCAGGTGGACTAATTGAGCATGTTCCTGCTGCTCTTCCCCTACCCCCCTCTGTCAGGTGCACAACGTGCCCATAGTGTTCACCTCAGCGCTGCACGGGGAGGGAGGCAAGGAGCTGATGCAAGCGGTATCAGATGCGTACGACAGGTGGAACACCATGCTGCCTGCAGCGCGGTTGAAACACTGGCTGCCACAGGTGAGAGTGGGGGCTGATGTCGAGGTGCCAAGGGAAGGGAGGCAAGGAGCTGAAGCATGTTGGCTGCTTCAGATGCGTACGACCGGTGGAACACCATGCTGCCACAGAGCTTTTGAAGCGCCTCAAAACTGGTGGAACAGCATGCTGCCACAGAGCTTTTGAGGCGCCTCAAAACTGGTGGAACAGCATGCTGCCACAGAGCTTTTGAGGCGCCTCAAAACTGGTGGAACAGCATGCTGCCACAGAGCTTGAGACCTGTTTGGATTGGATCGACTCGGTCACAGGTATGCATGAAGTGAAGCTTGAGTTGACTCGTGCGAGCATCTCCCACTCCCAAGTTTATTGTTGCGTTGGTGCAGTAACCGCATACATGCTTCACTTACTCCTCTTCCTCGCCCTCTACTTGTTCCCACCCTATCTCGCCTGCCATATCCAGACTCTCAGGAAGCTTCCTGGATCATGCACTGCAGCTTCTGTCAAGAGCATCGTGCAGGTGAAGTCACGGCCGCCCACTTTTGTGGTCCGTGTCACCGCTGCTGCTGCAGGGGACCGCTCTCTCGCCCGCTTCTTTTCCACCAGAATTGCAGCTGACTTTGGGTTTGATGGCGTGCCAGTGCGTGTGGTGCTGCGAACAAAGGAGGGCACCAGATGGTGATGGATGGATGGTGGTGGCTGTGTGGGAGACAGTGGGGTTAGTCCTGCTGCTTTTCCTGCTGCTGCAGGGGGGACCGGTCCCTCGCGCGTTTCTTTAACACCAGGCTCGCAGCTGACTTTGGGTTTGACGGCGTGCCGGTGCGCGTGGTGCCAAGAACCAGGGACGGCACCGGATGGTGATGGCGGTGCTGTGGTTGGATCACATGCCTCTCCATTAGGATAGCAGCTGGAGTAGGATTGCCCCATTGACGTCAGAAGTGCAAGTTGCCTTGAAAACTAATCAACCCAGAAAATATGGGTTGACACTTGAAAAGTGAATGATTCTTTGTTCCCATGAGGGTTTGGCTTATGCCAAGGCCCCCCGGCCACAGGTCAGGGCAAGAGGTGAGACTCAGGTCTGAGCATTAACGGCACAAGCCTAGTCTATGAGCTAATGCACATGCTAACTGGTGCGTGAAAACCCCATCGGAACTGGCAATGGATGCATGTCCTTTCTTCATAGCGCCACGTCTACATTCCTAGTAATATGCACCAGCGACTAGGCAGCTTAGTATCCTTCAACCCCCGCAAAACTGAGGCTGCTTATCGCACAGAAGCACCAACACCTTGTCACCCTGTATAGTTGCCATCCAGAGTCCAGTCAGCTGACCCTGAGTGGGTGTGAGCCAGGGCAGCTTCCCTGGCGCCGTGCTGCTCCCCCAGCAGAATGGAGCCGCCCACAACCAATTCTTGAGGCGCCTAAGAACCATCTGTCTGTATATTGTCCGTCCACTCAAACTCGGATCAGCTGAGAAGAGTGGGTGTAATCCTGGCAGCTTCCCTGGCAGCGCGCTGCTCCCCCAGCAGGATGGAGCCACCCACAGCCGCCCCCACAATGCCCGCCTCGTTGCGCATCTCCGCCGCCACTATGGGCGTTCCCCCAGGCACTGACAGCAGATGTAGGAACTGCGGGGTGGGGGGAGTGGAAAGGGGTGGAAAGGGATGGAGGGTGTGCGAAACGTCAATAAGCAGACGGGAGTAATCTCTGCTGCCACTATGGGCGTGCCAAGAGGAAAAGGGGATCTAATGGGTAAGAGGATTCGAATCAACTCATCAGCTCCAGTCCAGCAATGAGCGGGTGCACTCCGGGGGAGTCACTGCAGATAGAATTAGGACACGAGGCAAATGTGGGAGAGCACAACTGGCGTTGGATGCGTGCTTTCTGCTTAGCGTACTCGACCCTCATCTCACCTTCTCATCTTTCTTGCTGATGCCTCCACCAATCACCTGCAAGCAACGGCACAGCACCACATAGCACCACACAGCACATAGATATTGTCAGCTTGAAAACATCGAGACGCAACCACGAACGAACGCTGGAGGAAAGGCTACAATGCAGTGCGCCTCTACTCACTATAAGGTCCGTGCAGTAGGCCTATACTCACTATAAGGTCCGTGCAGTAGGCCTATACTCACTATAAGGTCCGTGCAGTAGGCCTATACTCACTATAAGGTCCATGCAGTAGGCCTATACTCACTATAAGGTCCGTGCAGTAGGCCTATACTCACTATAAGGTCCATGCAGTAGGCCTATACTCACTATAAGGTCCGTGCAGTAGGCCTATACTCACTATAAGGTCCATGCAGTAGGCCTATACTCACTATAAGGTCCATGCAGTAGGCCTATACTCACTATAAGGTCCATGCAGTAGGCCTATACTCACTATAAGAGCTGGAGGTATGCTCCTTGGGCGCCAAATTCTTATCGATAACCTGCACCTGTACCTGTTGCAGTGGCCTGCACTGCAGTCTAGAGTCATTGCGGCTAAAGGTAATGCTCCGCGCGCAACAGCTACTCATCCCCCACCCCCACCAGCTAATATTCGTTGTCCCCTTAACACTGAGACAGTGTCTACCCCGCCCAGCCCACTTCTTCCAGCTCATCTCCAACTTCTCCGCACCACTAACAGTACGCCCATTTTGTACACCCTGTACACGATACAGCACTTAGTACTCACAATTAGATCCGGCTGGAGGTAATGCTCCATGCGAGCCAGGTACTCGTTCACCCGCCCAGCCCACTTCTTCCAGCTCATCTCCAACTTCTCCTTCACTGCTCCTGAGGCCACCTTCTCGGCAATTTCCCCGTTCACTTCTATGTGCCCCATCTCTAGGTTCGGCACCAGATGCCCGCCCACGAACAGTGCCGTGCCTATCCCCGTGCCGAACGTGGTCATCAGGACCGTGCCTTCCCGCTGCAAGGGTCGGCCGGCGCCAAACCTCATCTCGGCGAATCCTGCTGCATCTGCGTCGTTGATTGCTGCCACCTGGCAGCCTGTGGCGCGTTGGACGAGATCGACGGCGTTGATGTTGATCCAGGACTTGTCGACTGAGGAGGCAGGGCGGGGAGCGAACGTTGGTCCGGAGGTTGTGGGGTTGGAATGGGGAAACAAGTGCGGATGAGGAAAAAGCTGAATCCATGGTCTTATACAAAGCATTTGTTCACGGATTCTTCTATTTCTGTTCGCCTTATTCTGGTTAAGAACGACGTTTCCCCTAAGATGATTCATCGGTTCAGAATGCTTCCACTCTGTTATCCCCATTCTGGATATTGAGTGCACTCACTGTTCGCAGCACTGCGGACGATGCCACGTCGGACGACAGACGGAACGCCAATTCCGATTGGTCCATCCCACTGGCAAGGTATTCGGAAGGAGACGGGAAGAATGAAGGAAGTTTTAAGTCAAAGAAACGTCACGAATGAATGAGCAAGGGAAAACAATAGGGCCTGTATGTTCGCAAGTAGTGACCACGCCATGCGACGGAGGGCTGGCCAAAAACAAAAATGCTTCCAACCTAGCATTTGACGGCAAGTGAACTCACTCGGAAGTGGTCCTTGATCTGCCTGATGACGTCAGCGACGGCCTGAGGCGTGGCGGGATTGGGCGTGGGGATTCGGTACCGCTCCAGCAGCAGCGTTCCCGTCGCCACGTCCACCGGCGCTCCCTTGATTCCCGTCCCGCCAAAATCCAATCCCAAGACGATGGACAACTCGTCCTCGTGGTGCCGCTCCCGTAGCATGATCTCCCGCCAATGCTGCGGATCGCGGTGAAAGAGCTCCATTGGGGGTACCGGCTCATTGGAATGGACAATGGGCGTGGTGGATTCGTGCTGGAATTGCAACGTGGAGCCGAGATTCGACGAATTGGAGGGAGGTGGGGTCAACGGGTCAGCCGCTGTGGAAGCGAAGATTGGAAATGCGGACTTGGTATTCTGACACGCGCGAACAGTAGAAGTGGCGAGCTTGAGATTGGTCTTTCGCCAAGAGTGCAGAGGGACGAGTTGACCGGAATGATGCAAGGAGGCCATGGCGGAGGCCGGACTCGAGTGCAATGAGGATGAATGCCCAGCGGCGCCTGAGACTGAACGAGACAATGCGACGGGAGAAACTGAGGCTGACAGGGAGGCCGCCATAAAACGGGCAATTTTTTTAAATGTAGGTTTGGAAGTCGAGTTCTGCGGGGAGAAGGAGCTGGACGATCCCTGCAGCAAACAGCAGATGGGTTTCGGATGGGAGCAGAAAACGGTATGAAGCAAATGTGAAAGGCTACTTGATGCTGCTCACCAAAATTCTGTCTGCTTGAAATTTGGGATTCGGATTTTGGGTGTGGCAGCAGCTGCAGCATTTCCCAACGAGCGACAGCAACGAACAGTAGGGGGAAATGAGGGGAGGGGGAGGAAGGAGGGGAAGGACGGATGGGAACGGGGGAGGTGGGGGGGAAATGAAGACGATGTGAGGGGAGGTGAGGGGGCAGCGAATCATTTTCAAGCACGGCGGGGCGGAGATGAGAAGCGCGGCGGAGCAAAGCCCGCCAAGCCAAGACACATTCCGAGTTACCGTTGTACATGCTCGCGTTTTTCGCGAATGGCATTTGAAGGAATCGCATGGCATGGCATCTCAATTGGCCATGCCCATGCCCCGTCGACAAACCGCACATCCACCTCGAAAGTCCGCGTTCCTTCGTGGTCATTGCAACCGCTGACGTGCTATTGACCTATGATGAGTAAAGAGAATATTCGCCAAATTCTTATAGTAATAGCTCTATTATTGTGCGCTCTGATATCCTGTAGTAACTTATGTAGGGGACAAATCATAGCCTTGATAAGGTGGTACTTCCTACCGTATGTAAGAGGCATGCCACATCATAGTCAAACTGCTTGGCAATGTTCCTCTCTAATCATATCCTGCACTCTTTCCTGCAGCACTTCATACGTCTGAGTCACCTCTATCTTCGCCCCTGACAATCTCTGATAGAACCTCTCATACGATCTCCCCGCACCCTCCCCCCCCTTTCGAAAAAATATAATATTCTTCCCACCAAAGTAGCTAGACAGCACGGATGTTCCCCCTTGCACGCTGATAAAACAGGAGCTTCGGGCCATCATTCGAAACTGAACCTCGTTGAAACTTAAGCTCGGCCAAGCCTCGCGAATCTGCTGCATGGTTCTGAACCGAGGCTGCGAACCAAACTCCTGAGCCAGCCTTGGGTGGTCCCCCAAATCAGCCAAGTCTGCTTGCTCCACATCTGTCTTGACCGAATCCCCAGGCCGGTTATAGACCACGTAATACCCCTTATTGAGAAACTCACGCGTGATATTAAGGAGGGTTGGAACGTCAATAAAATTAACGGGGGGTTCCAGCCATTCAGTCTCATACTTGTTGCTTATAATCACAAGCGGAACCCCCCCTACAGGAACATCAAGCCACACCCGGCCCAACTCACGCGTCCTGTACACTAACGGGGGTGGATGCCAGTACTGCGGAATGTCACTGTGATGAAGCCCCTGTGTGAAACCATACTGTGTAATCCAGTTGCGGTCGCTGGAGCGTTTACAGTCTGGGTCTGAGGAGTGGTTTGGGCTGAAATAGTAGAGGAGAGAGAGTGGGACACCGCAAGTCTTAGTGGATCTAAGAGTTCCGTTGAGGAAATGCCAGTAGGCATGTGGTAGGACTGCAATAAGCTCGTACCCGAACTCGCCTGTATAGAAGAGGTCTATAGCGGCAGGGATGGATTTGTCAGGTGGTGGGGTGGGCGAGGGGTTGAAGGAGGAATTGCAGGGGCAGACCCATGGGCGGGGGGTGTCGTCTGAGTGAGGAAGGGGCGGCAGGGAGCAGGGGGGTGGAAGGGGAAAGGTACATTCATTGGTTCAGTGAACATTATTGCAGGGACAGACCCATGGGGGGGGAGGGGGTGTAGTCTGGGTAAAGGGGCGGAAGGGAGCAAGGGGGGGGGGGGAGGGAGAGAATGGTTTGAAGGAGGGAGGTAAAACACAATGCTTTGAACATGACTTAAACAAGAAATCAAGAGATTGTGCACGAGCACGGGCGGACACAGGGGCAGGGGATGTCGACTGGGGAAGGGGGTAAACGGACGCAGGGAAGGGTAGAAGAGGCGGAAAGGGGCAGAAGGAGAGAGGTAAGGAGGAGGGAGGTAACAGGCATTGCTTAGAAGATTGCTTGAGAAGAATTGATCACATGAGAAGATTCATGGAAGGGGGGATGTCTGGTGAAAAGGGCAGGGAAAGGGGGGAAGGGCGGAAGGAGCAGAAGGAAGGAAGGAAGGAGGTGTGTGGCATTGCTGAATCCTGGCTTTAGCAAAACTCTAGAGGCGCCTCAAAAGCAAAAGGAGCGGAAGGAATGAGGCGTCAGGCATTGTTGAAACCGTGGCTTTAGCAGAAAGCACTGCCGGGGCTGAACGGGAAAGCGAGGTGATGGTTGTGTATGAAAAGGGAAGGCGTGGAAAAGGGCGAACAGGGAAGCGGTGAGGATATCCTGAAGAAGGGCGAACGGGAAAGGGAGGCGATGGATTTGAGAGTGGCAGATGGGTCTGGTAGTGGGTTTGGTAGGTAGTAAATGCTGGGTTTGGGTGAAGCGGGTGTTATGGCAGGTGAGTGGCTGTTAGCGGGGACGGGCTGAGTGACTGACATGGATCAGCGCCCCCACGTGAATGTGAGATGAAGCACGAGGGAGGGAAGAACGGGGGAGGAAGCAGAGTGTGCAGTGAAGAGCTTGATGGATGGATGGATGGATGGATGGATGGATGGAAGCACACTAATGGAAGAAATTAGCACCAGAGACATTCATGCTCACTTGATTTACAATCGGATGAATTGTTTGCAGAGGCAGGCTCAGCAGTAGGCGCGGCGGCAGGCTTGGAATCCAAACCAGCATCTAGCTTCGAATCCGGCTCGGTAACAGTGGCCGCTGGTGAACCTTCCGGTGGTGGAGAGCCCTTCTCGTCTGCATGGGACAATAGCCATTGGCAGCAGGAACAGCACAAAATGCTGAGGGAAATCACGTGAGAAGGGGAGAGAAATAGGATAACGAAATATGAGAGGAAGAGTAACGAGAGGAGGCGGATAGACAAGGCAGGGAGAGGGGGAGGGATGAGGGGAGAGGGATGAGGGGAGAGAGGAGAGGGAAGAGTGGGCAGGGGAATTTCCCAAATCAGGTGCGCACCAGACGCGGCAGCAAGGCGGCTTGCGAGAGCGAGGGCAAGGAGCAGGAGAAGGAGGATCCGCGACGAGCGACGATGAGCGACGATGAGCGACGGACGACGAGCGACGATGCGCGACGGCCGACGAGCGAGCTGAGAAGGAGAAGGCCGCGGCGTGGTGGCAGCAGCAAGGGACCTTCCGTGAACAATGAGGCCGCACAACGCGGCGGCGTTGTGATCCTTGCCGCACAATGCGGCGGCTTTGCGATCCTTGCCGCACAACGCGGAGGTGTTGCGATCCTTGCCGCACATCATTGCACGATAGATGATTAGACTAGGCGGTGCGGTCTTCTTGAAGTTCTACGCAGAAGTGTTCTGAATTGCCCCAACTATCATTGCCGCACATCGTCCCAGTCCCAGAGTAGTTTGTTCTCAGAATGGGTTACCTCACGGCAGAATCAATAAGTACTACTTCTCAGTGATAAGTCGATTTCTGAGTCGACTAAAAAGTGATAGCCTCCGAGAGCGCTGCGTTTACGGAGCGGTGATGCATGCTAGGCGTACAGTGGGTACCAGCAGTCCCTGTCCGGTTCCGTAGAGCGGTTCCGGCGGCTCAGAGAAACAAGCGAGCTGAGCGCAGCGAAGGATGGCCGCTGCTCTCAAGGCTTCGTGCCTCTACATACAGCTTCTAGTTTGAGACATTTCAAAACTCTTGAGTCGACTGACAAGTCTAATCAAGGCTTCCTTTGATGCGCCTCTAACATAAAGCTTGTAATTTTAAGAAATCTCGAAACTCGTTGCTCTCAAAGCTTGCTCTAAGGCGCTTCTAATAGACTGAGCTTCTAGCAAGGGCCGCTGCTCTTTGATCTGAAAGGCATTGCTGTTTACACCTCTGTTCATGTTGTGTCTGTTGGAGTGGTAGGCTAACCACAGTCGATGTTGCTCAGACTTTTTAGCAATCAGACGGCATTCAGGGCTTGTTCGTATTTGGCGCCAGTGTCATTTTGCTATTTTGACACTACCAACATTGTTGGCAGAGTGTCAAAATTTCGCACAATGGTAGCCAGTAAAATTAGTCGGACACCTTCAGAATTTGACGGAGTCAATACCTACGAGCCAGCCAGAATCGTCGCAACAAACAATCCATCTCTCCTAGCGCCCAATCAAGACACACCGTTTCCTACGTGAAACCTACAGCTAGTTGATAACTTCGCTGGCTACGACGTGCACCAATCAGTTGAATACACTAGGAGGACCCAACTAGTCAGCTGCGTCGTTGATGATTCTAAGTGCGCTTCGAGTTGACACTGATACTACAGTGATCGACAAGGATGACCGCCTGGTGTCAAAACTACGGACACGATCTCACAATCAGAATCCGACCCACACATATGAATGTTCCACGGAGTACAGACAGTCACCAGCATCTGTGGAAGGTAGTGTCTGTAGAGTGGCAGATTTACAGGGCGCCTCGAGCCCGAATTGCAGCGAAACCTTTGACGGCCTCGCGATGCCAAGGTACGCCACGTCGGCCGCGACCTCAACTGTCAAGTCCGACTCCTCCACGTGTGAGTGCGCTGCCACCTCAAACCCCCATCCGATATACGAAATCCCGCTCGTAACCATGTGGCCCATTCGATCTGTTTAGTGAAGTGAACAGATTCCATACACGTGAACCGGAGTCACATTGTGGTAGGCCCTTTTAGTTGCCCTGCCCTTCACTGTTGTCAGCAGTTAATATAATCACAGCTCTGTTATTTGTTCACCCTGCACACTCTGTTTGACAAAACGTAACACTCTTCACAGCTTGTACAGTGACTGTGCAATTGTGACCATTATGCATTACAATATACACAGATTTACAACATACACCAACCGCTCCTTGCAGCGCGTATGACACAGGTTCCGCATCAGCAACTGGAAGATGGGAATGAACAACTCTGGCCTAGGCCCGGTGCGCACAGCCTCCGAGTTCGAGCCGCAGCAGCAGCTGCGAGAGCAGCTTCGGGTCAACAGGCTTCTGCAGAACACCATCAAAGCCACTCGCAAGGCACCGCCGAATGACCCCATCATCCACATCTGCTGTCAGAGCCACTATGAGGAGCCTTGCATGTCTGATTGTTCCCCGTGGGACAGTGAGGACTTTTGACCTTGCATGTCTGGTTGTGTGTCTCCTGTTGCTGCGCCGGCGGCAGCTTCTGGTGGGGATGCTAAGTGAAGAAGCAGGGCTTGTTCGTGTGCCCGTATGGCCTCTGTGGTTGCAAACCTGAGGGGGATTACAACGAGGAACGGGCAGAGTGATGGGAGTGGAGAGAGCTTTTGAGTCGATTTGAATGAAGAAGCAGGGCTTGCTCGTATGCCTGTATGGCCATTGTGGCTGCAAATCTGAAAGGGATTACATTGAGGTAGCGGGGGGAGCAGCGATGGAGAGAGCAAGGGCATTGAAGGAGAGGAGAAGCATGCCACTGGGCACACATGGTGACTTTTGAGTCGACTCAGGAGAGGAGAAGTATGCCACTGGGCACACATGGCAGGCAGGCAGAGTGGTGAGAGTGGCATTCACGTCAACAAGAGGGGCATCTGCAGGTCCATGAGCACCACACCCAATCCACTGCCTCTGCTGTCCAGCTTTCTCTCTCTCTCTGTCTCTCTCTCACACCTGTCAACATAACCGACTCACCTGTCCCATCGCCCACCACTCACCCGTCCATGAGGGGCATCTGCAGGTCCATGAGCACCACATCCACATGCCCATCCGCAGGCTGTGCGCTGCCCCCCAAGGCAGGTTCCATGGGGTGTACGGTGCCCTCCAGAGCGAGCTTGACTAGCCGCAGCGCCTCCTCCCCGCTGGCAGTGGTGGCGACGGTGGCGCCGCTGCGAGTGAGAGTGCGGCGCGCCACCAGCAGATTCACTGCCGCATTGTCCACCACCAGCACATGTACCCCCCCTAGCACCCCCGCACCCTGCTGCACTGCATTCAACCCCGTGCCTGCCTGCACACCCACCCCCTGCAGCACCGCGGTTCCTCCCTTGCTTGGCAGCGACCCAACGCGCCGCTGCAGCTCTCGGGCTGACTGGGTGGCAGTGGCAAGTGAGGCAGCACTGGCAGATAGAGAGCGCATAGCTGTGACCACACCCAGTCTCGTCACTGCTGCTGCTGTTGTTGATGATTCTGCTGCTGCTGCTGCTGCTGCTGCTGCTGCTGCTGCTGCTGCTGCTGCTAATTCTGCTGCTGGTGCTGTTTCAAGCGTCCCAGTGTCTTCAACTGCCATATCTCCCCTTCTACTGCTGGCGCTGTTGCTTCCACTGCTGGAATCATCACCTGGTACTGTGCGCCCTGTGCACCTGCTACAACCCGCACCCAGGCTCGTTCCCAGCACCTCTGTGCCCTTCTCCTTTGCCTCCTAATCTCCATGCACTCCTCGTTCTTTTCCTTGGGGCGCCTCAATAGCAGACTCTTCACGTCCACCTTGCTCCGTGTCAGCTGGCCCAGCCTCTTTTTGAGTTGACTCAAGAACAGGCTTTCCTTGAGGCGCCCCAATATCAGAATCTTCACGTCCACCTTGCTCCGGGTCATCTGGACTTGACTTTCCCCCTGCGAAGTGGTTGCGACCGAACGCAGCCAGCTGGGAGGAGAGGAGGAGAGGTGCGTGGGTGAGGGGTGAGTGAGAGTGTGAGCGCGAGAACAGAAACCAAGGCCAGACCCGGAGATGACTCAAAAGAAGTCGGACGGAAGGGAGGTGAGGTAGGTGGTTGTGAGTGAGGGCAAGAGAATCGTCACCATGAAGTCAAGGAAGCCGAGTTGAGAAGGCAAGAGACCAGTTTCATGATTTGCTTTTGAGAATTCTCCGAAGTTGAGTTGCAAAGTCACGAGAGCAGTTTCATGATTTCATTTTAGCGCACCAAATGGCAGCATAGGCTCACATGAACGGCATGGTGCAGATGGTGAGGGAGCAGCGGGCGGCGACAGATGACCACCCGGGGTGAGATGCCAGTAGAGACACCAGAGGCGGAGGCAGAGGCAGCAGAGAATGTAGAGACACCAGAGCCGCAGATGTGGTGGATCCAGGAGATACGGTTGATGAGGCAGGGTGAGTGGACGAGGCAACAGGAGTTGCAAGCGCACAAATAGGTGCTCTGTGCATTTTAATTAAACCCCCGTCATCTCCAAATTTCGTGTCTTGCAGCTCTTTCCTCTCTTCCTCTTTCCTCTCTCCCTCTTTCCTCTCTTCCTCTTTCCTCTCTTCCTCTTTCATCTCTTCCTCTTTCCTCGCTTCCTCTTTCCTCTCTTCCTCTGTCCTCTCTTCCTCTTTCCTCTCTTCCTCTTTCCTCTCTTCCTCTTTCCTCTCTTCCTCTTTCCTCTCTTCCTCTTTCCTCTCTTCCTCTTTCCTCTCTTCCTCTTTCCTCTCTTCCTCTTTCCTCTCTTCCTCTTTCCTCTCTTCCTCTTTCCTCTCTTCCTCTTTCCTCTCTTCCTCTTTCCTCTCTTCCTCTTTCCTCTCTTCCTCTTTCCTCTCTTCCTCTTTCCTCTCTTCCTCACTCCTCTCTTCCTCACTCCTCTCTTCCTCTTTCCTCGCTTCCTCTTTCCTCTCTTCCTCTTTCCTCTCTTCCTCTTTCCTCTCTTCCTCTTTCCTCTCTTCCTCTTTCCTCTCTTCCTCTTTCCTCTCTTGCTCTTTCCTCTCTTCCTCTTCCTCTCTTCCTCTTTCCTCTCTTCCTCTTTCCTCTCTTCCTCTTTCCTCTCTTCCTCACTCCTCTCTTCCTCAGTCCTCTCTTCCTCACTCCTCTCTTCCTCTTTCCTCTCTTCCTCTCTTCCTCTTTCCTCTTCTTCGCTGCCTCCGTGCCTCTCCTCCGCCCGCGCCGCTCCCCTCCGCAGCCTCGTCGCCACCTCCGCGCCTGCATCGTCGCCGCTTCGACAGCCGCCGCCGCCTACGCCGCTCCCCTCCGCGGCCTCATCGCCGCCTCCATGCCCGCGCGGCCTTGCCGCCGCCCGCGCCGCTCCCCTCCGCGGCCTCGTCGCCGCCTCCGCTGTGAAAGTACAATGGCTTATGCCAGCTATGCTTGCTTGCCTTTACTTTATCATGCTATTTCTAGCATAGGATAATCATATGCATGCATGAATTGCTTGATTTCCTAGGCTAGGTGCTTTCCTATATTTTATTATAGTTATAGCACCGAGCTAGGTTGCATGCACCGAATTGTGGCCTTTTCGGTTGCCACCGAATTGCCTTCTGACGAGAAACGAGAGAATGATTGAACTATGAAAGAGTTGGGTACAAATACTAACCCTAATTGGGTTGTACCCCTTGTGGGCCTACACAAATGTATAAGCTATAATGTTCTGACACACCCCCATAGGCAAAGTGGGGGAGAACAAGTGGTCACAAGACCAGTCAAGCAAAGCAAAGCAAGCTCAGGGTGGATCACAAAGTCACCACACAGTCCGAGCACAAGAGTAAGGCCAGAAGGACAGTTCACATGCAAGATCATATATATAAAGGTAAACAAGCAAGTGCAGGTATAGAAAGAGGACAGTATAAACAAGATGAAGAAGTGAACAAGTGAGGCCAAGTAGGCACAAGACCTAGCAAAGTACAAAAGTGCTGATGATCACAAGGCGGAAGGGCCTTGGTGAAGACATCAGTAGTGTTGGCCTCAGAGGCCACGTAGGTGAGGCCGAGCTGGCCACGCTGCTGCAGCTCACGAGCAAGGAAATAGCGGAGAGCAATGTGCTTCGTTCTGTGCTCCAGTCTGTGCTCCCGACACAAGGCCAGCATGGCCTTGTTGTCTACGTACAGAACTGGAGGAGAACGAGGCGACTCTCCTAGGTCAGTCAGCAACTAGGTGAGCCAGCGAAGCTCCTGTAAAGCCATGGCCCCTGCGTAGATCTCAGCCTCACAGCTGGAGGTGAGAACAGAAGACGAGCGGGTAGACTGCCACGAAACAGAGCAGGAGCAAAGGCTGAAGGTGTAACCCTGTGACGACCGCTGCAGAGCCTGGTCGTCAACCCAAGAAGCGTCACCGTGACCTGTCAGGACCACTCGACGTCGCCCTCCAAACACTAGCCCCATGCCCGACGTACTGCACACGTAGCGCAACACCCTCTTTGCTGTAGCCAAGTGCTCTCGTCTGTGTCTCCCAGGAGCCACATAGGGTGCCAAGATGCTAAGAGGGTATGCAAGGTCAGGTCGTGTGCAGGTCATCAGGTACATGAGGCAGCCAACAAGCTCTGGGTACGGGCCACTCGACTCTACGGACTCATCCGAAGGCAGAGCTGAGAGCGAGTGGCGAGTAGACAGAGGAGTGGCCTGAGGCGAGGAGTACGTGAAGCCGAAGCGCTGAAGGACCTGCTGCACCATGTGTGACTGAGTCAGGGTAATGGTGCGCTCTGCTCTGTCCCGGTTGATCTGCAAGCCAAGGTAGATGCGCAGTTCACCCATGTCTGTGCACGTGTGTCTCTTCTGTAGCTCGGACTTCATGTGGGCGAGTCCAGCAGTGTCAGCTGTGCCAAAGACCAAGTCGTCGATGTACACGAGGATGTAGAACGGCGGCAGAGAGGTGTCGGTGCGCAGAAACAGCGATGGGTCGGCTGTAGAAGGAGCAAACCCAAGAGCCGCAAGTGTAGTCCTCAGTGTGTTGTGCCACTCACGGGGTGCCTGGCGGAGACCGTAGACTGGCAGTCGGAGGCTCCACTGGGTACCAGGAGGAAACGACCCAGTGAAGCCAGGAGGGGGGCGCAGCCAGATCTCCTCGTGCAGGCTGCCCTGCAGGAAAGCTGTGCTAAAGTCAAGAGAGTGAAGCTCGTAGTCGCGCTGAGCGGCTATGTGCAGCAGCACCCGAAGAGTGGTCATCTTCGGGGTGGGAGAGAAGGTTTGGAAGTAGTCAACTCCCTGCCGCTGACTGAAGCCTCGAGCCACGTAACGCGCCTTGAAGACAGGCGGAGAACCCGGCGGCCGCTTCACCCTGAAAATCCACATGCCACTAACGATGTTCGCCCCAGGTGGGGGAACCTCGTCGACGTAGGTGCCTGTGGACTTTCAGGAAGCCATCTTTGCGTCCATGGCTGAATGCCACTGAGAGGAGTAGGGACCCTCGATCGCCTCAGCGTACGATCGAGGAGTCGGGATGTCTGGTGCATCCGGGTCTCCCTCAGGGGCAATCAGGGTGGACAAGAGATGGGGCAAAGCAGCCGCAAAGCACTGGAACTCCTCCAGCCTGTCCTCAAGGACGTCCGTGCTAAGAGCACACTCACCCCCGACGGACGGAGGACAGACAGACTCAGACTCGTCAACGAGACTGGCAGTGTAGTCTAGACGACAGCGAGCAGCGAAGTCGACGAGCTCAGCAACTAGAGCAGACGCAGCAGTGGACTCAAAGGAAGGGTCAGTGACAACAGTAGCAAGAATGCGCGTGACCGAAGGACTAGCAGCACAAAGGGAGTCAGACTCCAGGTCAGCAAGAGAAGGAAGAGAGGGCTCTGGAGGAGACGACAACGGGACACGTCGAGGAGCAGTGGAAGGACGCAGTGCCATCTGGTGTGTGCCGGGGACCGTAGGAGGACGCGGACGCGCAACACGATGACTAGTGCGAGTAGCACGAACTGGCGACGCAGGACAAGACGCAGGCTCACGACGCTCAGTAAGACCTCCAGTAGGACCAGTGTAGGGAGAAGGAGCAGGTAGCGGGGAGGCGGGCTATAACTGTGACTGCGACTGGACAGGCTGTGGACACTCTATGGGAGGAGCACGACCAGGAGAGGGCGGGAGACGAAGAACCTGCTCCAGGAGCGGAACGAAGTACGGCCTCGGCCGCTCAGCGCCTCCAGAACCAGCAAGGACGGCACCAGTACCCCCAGTGACAGCACCAGCGCCAGTAGCACCTCCAGCTCCAACAGCGCCAACTCCAGTACCCTCAAAAGCACCTGCGCCAGCAGCACCGCCAGCGCCAACACCCCCAGCAGCTCCAGCTCCAGCAGCACCAACTCCAGTAGGATCGTCAGCACAAGCAGCCTCACCAGCACCCCCAGACGTACCAGCACCAGCGTGAACATCCCCAGCAGCTCCACCTCCAGCAGCACCAGCACCGCCAGCAGCTGCAGCAGGACCAACTCCAGTAGCTACAGTAGCACCCCCAGTCTCAGCAGCATGTCTCCAGTGGTGGGCAAACCACTCGCGCAGCTCCTGTGGAGAAAGGCTCCCGCCTCGACGAAGCACCGCCGGCGGCCACAGGAGAAGACCCAGCACCCCCAGGCTCCGCACCCCCAGGCTCAGCACCCCCACACTCAGCACCCCCAGGCTCAGCACCCCCAGTCTCAGCACCCCCAGACTCAGCACCCCCAGACCCGGCACTCGCAAGCTCAGCACCTCTAGCAGCACCAGAGTCAATAGCTACCTCGACAGGCTCGACTGAGTCTATCTGGGACACACCTGACGGGGCAGGACCCTGAGGGGGGAGGGGGTCTACCTAGGGAGGACCTGGCGCAAGGAAGAGCGGCAGCGGGGGGAGGGGCGCAGTGCGGTAGGGGAAGAGACGGTAGTAAGGCACCGACTCGTCAAAAGTTGACGTCCTGGGAAGACAGAGCACGGCGCGAGGTGGGGTGGTAAAACTGCCACCCAGGCGCGTCAGGGGGGAAGCCAAGGAAGACGCAGGGAAAAACACGGGGGGACAGCTTGTCCGCAGAGAAGTCGCGGACAAACGCCCGAGATCCCCAGACCCGAAACGCAGACGCATCGCCAACCTTCCCGGTCCACCGCAAGGCGGGGGAGGTCTCTAGCAAGGAGACCCAGGGCTGAAGGTTGAGCTGATGCGCGGCGTATCGAACCGCAAACGACCTCAGAAAATGGGGGGCAGCCGCATACATCATGGACGTCCGAGCGACGTCCATGACCATGCCAATGTGGCGCTTAGCAATCCCATTTTGCTGTGGAGAGGCCGGAAGCGTGAAGGTCGAGCGGATGCCCTGTGCACGACAGAAGGCTCCCAGACGGGGAGAGGAAAACTCTCCGCCTCTGTCCGAGTGCAGACGCAGAACAGGAAAGTCCGAGCCGGAACTCTCTCTGAGCTGGAGACGAGCTGCGCGGATCGAGTCGATCAACACCTCAGTGACATCGCCCTTGCTGCGCAAGGGGAAGACTGTGGTGTAACGCGAGTAGTCCTCAACCACCAGTAGGAAGTACCGCTCGCGTCCCTGCCCACTGACGCGGGCTGGGCCCCACACGTCCATGTGGAGAGTCTGCAGCGGAGCCTCTGTCGGAGGAGACTCGGAGGAGTGAGGGGCGGCGCGCTGTCGCCCCTCGACGTAGGGGACGTAGGTAGGGCCAGGCCCCAGAGGAAGGGGAGGGAGAGACCGAGGGAGACTAGAGACAAGGATACGGGAGGCCATGCCTCGAAGACGAGGCAAGGAGGGGTGACCAAGGCGGTGGTGCCAAAGGAGAGTCTGGTGGGACAGCAGACGACACGAGCAGGGAGCAGACTCAGGACCAGACCTGGACGCCGCAGTAAACACCTGACTTGACGTAGCTACCTAGGCAGACTCAGCAGCAGGAGGAGACTCAGTAGTAAGGGTGTACAGGCTCGACCCTGGCAGACGGGTGAACGTGGCCAAGTGTCGGCCTGTCCGAGCACACGTGCAGTTAGTCACTCGCTGACTCGCAGGAGTGAATTGGTCAACCCCCCTATCCTGTAGGTCCGCTCCACTCACCAAGTTCGTAGAGAACGAGGGGAGGTAGAGACCAGATAGGGTGCCAGAGGGGGCTGCCGGGCACGGTAGGACAGTGGAGAAGCTAGCAAGGACAGGACTCCCAGAGGGGTCTGCAAGGGAGACTGCAACCGGCCGACTGAGCGGCGTAAGAGTGGTGCGGTCTCGAAAGAAGGAGCGGGACGCACCCGAGTCCAGGGTGAAGGTGTGGAAGGCCTGAGCCAACGTAGTACCTGAGAGAGCAGACTCACCAGCACCTGGGGCAGCAGACGCACTGGCACCTGGGGTAGCAGACGCACTAGCACCTAGAGCAGCAGCCTCACCAGCACCTAGAGCA